TTTGGTGATTTGAAATATCAACATTGGCTACCAGAAATCACTTACCCCACCTTTAAGCTAGAAAACAATTATTTGTAATAACATTTCACAATATCACTGTTTGTACTTGTATGTATGTATCAAATACATGCAGCCTTGGTGAGCATAGGAGAATTCTTTCAAAACCATATTTTTTCTAGGTTTCAGTGAACATTTTTGTTAAAGGGGTCATATGATGTTGCTAAAAAGAACATTATTGTACAAAAGTAATATATTTCTGTTACATGTGAAACAGAACAAACTCGCGTTTGAATCATCAGTGGCAAATCCTTTAAATATAAAAAGCGTACTTGCAGGCTGTGAGTCAGTCCTTGCAAAGTTGGAACTGCCCAACTTTATAGAAACAGCCTTTGTGCCACAGACGCATTGTAGGCTACTGGTTCAGGAAACAGTCCTCATCCTCCATAAAATGCGCAGCACACATCTGAATATTTGGGTTGAAGTGTTCTGGAACAGTGTTGTAAATACAACTTAACCACTGATTTCTAGTTGTGTCCTCTTTTGGAAGGCCAAACAAAATAGTTTCGCTTTCACAACGAAACACACAGCGACTCCACAATATGGCAGCGGCGGCAACAGCAAGAATTAAAGTTAAACCTTCTTTCTTTGCGTGAACATTTGGGCAGCGTTATGCAAATCTTCCCACATCGTGACGTAGACATGTGGGGGCGTGTTAGAACAAGCCGTTTTAGGAGGGCGGGGTTGACTCTTAAATTTTATAAAGAATATCTCTTTGGATTTGAGACTTTAGTCTTTGCAACTTTACAGATCTTCTTTATGCACCAAGAGCTTGTAACACTCCAAAGAGAAAGGAAAAATTGAAATCGCATCATATGACCCTTTTAATGATGCAAATGAATCTTTGATTTTAATTGAATCATTGTTTTCATAAGCATTGTTTCTTTTAAGGGAATCGAATGCCTGCTTTCATTACTCTGTTTCTCCTTCATGTTTGGTGGTTAAGGGAGAAGAGCCGATGGACCAAGAGGGTCAGAGTGATACGGAACAGGAAGCAACCTCCAAAAATGTCACAGATCTTCATGAGGAAAATAGCACTTCACCTAATGAAGAGAAAGATGAGAGTGAGCAGGAGGAAGAAGAGGAAAGTGAAGAAGGAAGAGTTTGTGTCGATGAGACAGAATGGCAGACATGCTCTGAGGAATCAGGAGACGAAGATCATGCTGAGGAGAAAACAGAATCCACAACGGTTTCATCTTTCTACAACTCCAGCCGTTTGTTACGCAAAGATGAGCTGCTGGAAATGTTTAAGTCTGTGCATTCTGGGCCGACATGCAAAGATGGACAAATCACAGTTGGACTGGTGAGTTTAAATTACATTTCTACATTATATCATTATTCATATTTCAACTCTAAATTCTCTTAAAGGTGGGATATCCTAATGTTGGAAAAAGCTCTACCATCAACACCATCCTGAGGAATAAGAAAGTCTCCGTTTCAGCTACACCTGGACACACAAAGCATTTTCAGGTGAGTGTTTTCTAATTAATGAACAATGGCGGTATTGAAAATTAATTCTTGACGTTTTTTCACATTTTTGCCACTACATCACTCTTAGGGACAAATTACATTAGCTGTATACCAATAGCTTTCAAGCTATCAGAGTCAAGAATTTAGCAGTTAGCAATTTGGAAATCTATGAACGCATCTGTTTATTCTTGGGCTTTTATCGACTGTTGGCGTGTCCACATGTTTCAGACTCTGTTTGCTGATCCTGGTCTCTGCCTGTGTGATTGTCCTGGACTGGTCATGCCTTCTTTTTTGTCCACCAAAGCCGAGATGATTTGCAGCGGGATCCTACCCATCGATCAGATGAGAGATCACGTTCCAGCCATCTCTTTGATAACCTTTTAAAACAGCAACGATCATGATAACTGCATTTTTTGCTTGATCTTTTAACACACTACAGTTTGAGGGTGGATTTTTTTGGAGTCTCTTATGCTCACCAAGACAGCATTTATTTGATCAAAAATACAGTAAAAACACAAATATTGTTACCCTTAACCTAAATACGTATGTCAGACTATCCCTCGAACTGTGCTGGAGGGGACCTACGGAATCAACATAATCAGACCAAGAGAGGACGAGGACCCCGATCGACCCCCCACCTATGAGGAGCTGCTCATGGCATATGGATGTCAGTTCCATTTGCACTTTGTACACATTAAGGAATTTCACAGCACACTTACTGACCAATCATAATGTATTCTCTTCATGCAGATATGAGAGGCTTCATGACAGCACACGGCCAGCCAGACCAGTCAAGATCAGCCCGTTACGTTTTGAAAGACTATGTCAGTGTAAGTGCCTTTCGTTTGTCAATACCAGCTCAGAATTTTGTAGTTATGAACATGGAAAATGGGAGATGTTAACCTCTTCCTACCTGATTTTCTGCAGGGTAAGCTCCTTTACTGCCACCCTCCACCCCACATCAGCCCTAAAGACTTCCAGCCTCAGCATGCCAGGTTTGCCAGGCGGAGTGGAGGAGTCGAACAGATTGCTAGCGATGCCGACAAACCCTCAAAAGTCAAACGCATAGAGAACACAGTGGATAAACATTTCTTTCATCAAGTGAGATTCAACTCTTGAATGGGTTTATTTTGTGATAACGCCTGCCTGAACATTACATGGCTACTGAAAATGAAATATTGATTTCAGTTTTGAAGTTGAATCCCTCACTGCACACATAATCTGTCATTTTTCATAGGAAAATGTGCGAGCACTGACCAAGGGTGTGCAGATGGTGATGGGTTATAATCCCGGAAGTGGTCCTGTTGGGCCTGGAAACACAAACACAGAACAACAGACTGGGAAACCCTGGAAAAAGCACGGTAACCGGAACAAGAAGGAGAAAGTGAGAAGACTCAACAAACATCTGGATGCATAATCCCTATACTAAGATGTTTATTGGATATACTATTTAATGCAAAGACTTTAATTTCACCATGGCTTATACCTGGATGGGATTGATAAGTACTGCTGGACATTCCCCTTTGTATGAAATATCATCACTCATAATAATAATAACTCTGTATTTTATCAGTGTATTGAATGAAAGAGAGTAATTGACACAGACAAATGCTAATAAATGAAGATCTCCTTATAATGTCCTTAAAAGTAGTTTTGTTCTATACTAAAATTGTGGATTCCATTTTCCATTCCAGTAGAATATGTGGATGTCTAACAAAGCTGACAATGATAATATATTGACAATTTCTCAGTGCAATTCTCTCAAACTTATAATTAGTACTGCGTTTTTAAAATGTTCTCCAAGTTGTAATGCTATTTAAATATAAGATAGTATGGAATTGTCAGGTAGTAATAACCAAGCGTTTGTAAATGACTTTTTTAAGGGAAAGAATTGTTAATCTATAAGGGAACGTGCATATTTTGATGCGGAGATTTGTCATTAAATCTGGCAAGTTTCTTACAACTTTTAATCACATATATTTTTTAAAGTATTTCTTGCCTTTTCTCAGTGATAAAAAGTCTAATTACATGCATTTTGCGCGCACACACACATATATCATAATAAAGTAACATTAAATATTTCTAAACTTCTCAGTATTTTAATGTAAATAGGGATTTGCGAGTCACTTAACAGGACTGGCCAGCGTCCACTTTCTACCCGCAGCCTTACAGCCAATCAGCTGGATGGACGTCACATAGCGTAATTAATATGTATGAGCTAAGCATGTGGGCGTTACCTAAACGATACAGGTGATTGACGGGTGGTTCAACTTCACGACCATCACTGCAGCTGGCAGCTAATGATAGAAGTTAGAAACACAAACATTTTCTGAGTTACTTCTCCCTCGGTGGGTGACAGCATAAGTGAAATATATGGGTAAAATTACAGTCTTAGACATTGTCCAGCGATGGAGCCAAGAGTTTGTTAAAGGGGTCATATGATGCTGCTAAAAAGAACAGTATTTGGTGTATTTGGTGTAATGAAATGTGTTTATGCGGTTTAAGGTTAAAAAAACACGTTATTTTCCACATACTGTACATTATTGTTTCTCCTCTATGCCCCGCCTTTCTGAAACGCGTCGATTTTTACAAAGCTCATCGGTCTGAAAAAGCGAGGTGTGCTCTGATTGGCCAGCTATCCAGTGCGTTGTGATTGGCCGAATACCTCAAGCGTGAGACGGAAATGTTACGCCCCTCACCTCTTTGGATTTGAGACTTTAGTCTTTGCAACTTTACAGATCTTCTTTATGCACCAAGAGCTTGTAACACTCCAAAGAGAAAGGAAAAATTGAAATCGCATCATATGACCCCTTTAAAGGTTGTCTTTCGACATATGAAGAACATATTTGCATCTCAGCTGCTCTTTACGTCTTGTCTGCTTTGATATTACTGGTTTCCTGTTCACTGTGAGTGTCGTCGTGTGATTAAAAGTAGCCGAGGTGTGTAAATTGATAAACTTGTCGCAATAATAATAATAATCATCTGTCGTTCCTTTCCAGTCTTCTTTATCACAGATGCAAACGCGAAGCAAGAGTTTGGGTGATGAAGCAGTCTGCGCTTTGTATTGTTTCGTGGGGAACTTGTGCAGCGCAGTGGGCGCTTTGCTTTCCAAACAGTTTGATTTTCAGGTGAAAAATCAGTTAAAGGTTATCAATTTCGCCGAGGAGTTTTATCATTACCTCGCCAACTTTTTTGTCAATGCCTGCCGATTGACATTTGACAATGACACCTACCGGCCGGAAAGTGTACTGTTCAATAGCATGATCCTGCTTTATTTATTTATGATACCAGCAGCTGTTCACATTAGACCAGTATTTTTCGGTAACCGCTTAATATGGCCTAATTTGATGATGAGTTTGAATATATCAATAAACTTTACATTACAAAGAGTTTCAGAGAGAGACTGGAATTTTTTAAATTAAATATCAGCTTTAATGCACTTATCAAAACAACAAAAGCAGTCAAATCTCAAATGCTTTTGTTTTAATTACAAAAAGGAGTGTTAAAATGTATCCTTTAATTTACAGTCTGCAAAGAGGTGGAAAAAATTTTAAAAACACGTCAATAATTAATTTTTCACAAGCTCTGTATTAATAATAGTTAAACTGAACTACAGTAGTCAACATTTGAAGTGGATCAAAACCTTTCATCAAAGTTGTCCTAAAACCAAAACAATACCAGTTCTTGTCTTAGGACAACTTTGATTCACTTTTTTTGATCCACTTCAAATGTTGACTACTGTATATAAACTCTATAAACGGTTCCATTATAATCCACAAAAGGTATCATACTACAAGAAAATGACTCACTATTCTTTAAAAAGTAGTAAGGAGTATGCACTGTGTACTGGGCAGTAAGCAAGTATGCTGTTTCGAACACAGCCTAACATTCTAGATATAAACATTATAAACAGCCCATTTAAATGAAAGTCACATGTTCTGTCCATCTGTTTCAGATTTCTATGGCTTTGTATATGGCAATTTTGAATGTCATCCATTTCTTGTCAGTATCTTTCTCCATTTATTTATGGTATAAGTCTAAAATGGGTAAGGGTTTATTATATATATATATATCACTCACTCACTGGTATAATTATGCTTTCAATCATGTTACAATAAATGACTTATCAATGTGTTCTCAAGGAAAGAAAATGAGAATGGTGTCCAGGAGAAGGAGGCAGAATTTTCTAGTTGTGTCTCTGCTGTTTGTAATGGGTGGCAGCGTTTACTTAGGTTTACCAGTCCATTCAAGTCCAATAATGGTATCTCCAACCATGAGGAGACCACTTGGCATGTTCCTCAATGTAAGTAAAGTAATTCTCAAAAGAGTAAAGGTATATATCATCATATCTGATACTATATGTAAACTTACACCATATGCAAAGTCACGCTTGCTTAAAGGGGTCATGATGCGATTTCAGTTTTTCCTTTCTCTTTGGAGTGTTACAAGCTCTTGGTGCATAAAGAAGATCTGTAAAGTTGCAAAGACTAAAGTCTCAAATCCAAAGAGATATTCTTTATAAAAGTTAAGAGTCAGCCACACCTACCTAAAACGGCTCGTTCTAACAAGCCCCCAAATGTCTACGTCACGATGTGGGAAGATCAGCCCGGGGTCGCCACATGTGGTTGCCGCAAGCCCGCCCGCCGCTCACTCAAGCCAGCCTCCGCTCACTCTACCCCGCCGTGTGTGACGCTGTGTTTCGTTGTGAAAGCGACTGTGAAAGCGAAACTACTTTGTTTGGCCTTCCAAAAGAGGACACGACTAGAAATCAGTGGTTAAGTTGTATTTTCAACACTGTTCCAGAACAGTTCAACCCAAATATTCAGATGTGTGCAGCGCATTTTATGGAGGACTGTTTCCTGGGAGAGTAGCAGTAGCCTAATGCGTCTGTGGCACAAAGGCTGTATCTATAAAGTTGGGCAGTTCCAACTTTGCAAGAACAGTC